AGCGATAGCGATACCAATCGTATCGATCCATATCATTTTCGAGCGTTTCATTTCTACTCTAGTCTCTAACTTTCTGCTGCGATCGCGAAATTTGAGCGGGAAAGCTCATAAAAACAACCTAAAACTCCTAAAACCTATTGCTATTTGAGATTACTTAAAAAATATATCTTGAACAACCTGGTTATGCTTTATATAGTGATAAAAATCATAAAAAAAAACCTTAAATATAAAAATATTGTAGATTGTTGATCAAAACACTTAAGTGACAATAAACAAGTTCACTTTCGGGACGGTGGTGTAGCGGTCTATCGCGCTTATATTCATTTATAGGCAAGTTTATGAGTCTGAGACTGCTGGGTTTCGAATCCCAGACCAGACCATGTGGATTTTTAATTAAATTGCATGGTTCGGTTTAGGATTTGATGTGTGGCGTATTAATAGAAATTCAATTTCTGTTGATATGACATGCAGATTAAAAAAATTCGCCATACATTACCGTCTCGATGATGGTGGGTGAGGTTTTCCGGGTTTTCCTCACCTGTAAGTCAAATGGCACCATCAATCATCTTTAAGTCGCCCCGGAGCGCCACGGCAAATAATAATAATAATAGCCGTCCCTTCCCCTACACAAGTCGTTCAGTCGACTTCAGGGGTTGAAATTCACTCGTAATGGGGTGAATTAGGGAGATTATTATTATATTATTATTATTACTTTCAGTTGCAAATACTACGTTTCATTAAACTTGAATTGTCGTTCCACACAAATTTAATTTTTATTTTTAGATGAGGGCATTGATGATAATTCCTTTCAATTATTAGATGAAGAAAGCATAAGGCATCTTATTTTAAGAAAAAATTCGAGGAATTTTGTATGACCAAAGAAAATACCATGGTAAAATTGATATTGTTTTATTATCCAAATTTGACATTTATATGGTTTTCGAGTAAACTTCCGTTCCTGCAGCTTTGGATTAAAAATAAATAAATGTTTTTTTTGTACCTTATAAAAATTATAAAAACATTTTAGCTCTGCTGTGCTATGCTGATTTCAAAATAAACAATTTTTCTTTTTTTTTTATTTTGTCAATCCTTTTATGAAAAATTGACCGAAGATTTTTCAGAGGAAAAAATTAAGCAAATCGATTTATTTAGCTGAAATTGATTTAATTTTGTGTAAATATTTTTCATTGAAGCGAAAGATAAAAGAGTTTATTTTTCGAGTTCATGAGAAAAATATTTACCTTTGTTAAACCTATTTCAGCCTTTAGTATAAATTATATTTTGGTAAAACATTTTTACCATGATAGTAAGACGTTATTACTGTAACAGTAAATCCGTTTTACTGTAGTAGTAACCTATTATTACTGTAACTGTACAACAATTTTACTATAGTGGCAAAATATTATACCTGTAGCAGTGAAACAGTTTTACTAAATTGGTAAGACATTATTACTGTGACAGTAATACCGTTTTACTGTAGTAGTAAGATAATATTGCTGTTACAGTACAGCAGTTTTACTAGAGTGGTTAGATATTATTACTCTAACAGTGAAACCGTTTTACTAGAGTGGTAAGAAATTATTACTGCAGCACTAGAGCAGTAAAGCAGTAAGACAGTATTACTGCAGCATTACAACTAGATGTTACGTATGGTAATCTTAGATATTGGTGGTAGTTATACAATTATACTGTAGCCGTAAGAAAAAATTACTACCTCTGTAATAATATTTGACCAGAGCTGTAACACAGTTTTACTGCCGCAGTCGAATAAATTCTTAGTAATCCAAATATTAGCAAATCTTGTATTACTGTCACAGTAAAATCTTCTAGCTGAGGCATATTTAATTAACTTTTTCTTACTGCCACGGTAAGAATTTTTTTTTTGGTGCAGATATATATTCTACTAATAAATATAATATCTATAAAAAAAAATACGTTATTTACTTCGTCGTAAAACACGCCAGTCTTTAATAAGTTTGTGAAAAGTTTTGTTTTTTCAACACGATTTTGTGTTTTGTTTTTCTTTTGTCCGTTTAGTCGAAAACCACCACAACATATTGATTATGCTCATTACAAAATAACTGTTCCATCAGAGCAAAGTTCCAAACAAATTGAACTTATTTGGCGTTTCCACAAGATTAAAAACTTGTTTATAACATGTTTGTTATTAGTTCTAATAGTTCATAAATAAAATACGAACTTTTACTTTCGCGCATGCGTGCTTAATTAAAATAATTTTTCCTCTTTTTCTCCTTTATTTTTAGTTGGATTTTTGGTTATAGTGAGTGCCTATTATTTTTGATTAAAATGAGGGTAGTTTTTATTTGAGCAATTTTGAGTTGATCATAAAGTATAACCTCAAAATCTTCTTTTTTTATAAATATACTCGAATGACCTGTATTTAGTTAAAAAAAACATTTATTTTTCTAACGTTACAGCACACATTTATTCGGAACTCATTCCGAACATTATTCTGCTCACGCATGCGTATCAGATAATGTTTGTAACAAGTTTGGAACTCGCTTCGGGAAAAAACCTATTATGATCTGTCATTTATTAATATATTTTGTTGTTCAAGCTCTTAGCAAGTTCCTTTTTATATTTACTTGTTAGCCAGGTAGCAAAATAGTTAACATTTAAAAATGGCTGATCCATTATTTTGTCCTATTTTTTAAACGAATACGAAATATAGGGAACAGGTACATATTTTTAGTGAAGCTGTCTTCTCTGTTACAAATAATTATTTTACTTTTAAGGAAATTCGGAAATTTCATCTATTAGAATAGATTTGATTAGAACTATATGATTGCCTCTCCCACCTCAACCTTTTTCAAATTTATTGTGGTTATTTGTTTATTATTTATAGCATTGTGTAGAAAGTAGCTCTCCTCTGTACCTAGTTTTTCTTATTAAAGCATAAGGAATATCAGTCTTGAATAAGTACGGCAGTTTCGTCCTGTTCCTGGCAGAATAGGCATATTACCAGTGATACTAGCAATCCTTTGTAGCTCTAGAAAAATGCATCAAACTGTTTTTCTACTTCAAGGCAGCTCGGTGACATTTTAGTATTTTTCCCTAATGACAACTAAGAGCTATTAAATTATGAAAAACAGGAAAAATAATAATAAATAATATACCGGGTGTTCAAATTATAGTGTTACAGCTAAATACCGCCTTTTATAAAAAATACGTTTCAGACGAAAGTTTTATAGTTTTGTGGAGAAAACATTTTAGCTAACCAAAAAAAATATTTTTCTCAAAAGTTTCTTATATTTTTATGTACTTTAAGAATATGTAAAAAAAAAGTGAGGTTCTAATTTAAAAAAACAAAGTCATATTATGGTCAGCTATAAAAAAATGAATTTAGCCAAAATGTTTCCCCCAAAAAACTATAAAACTTTTGTCTGAAATTTTTTTTCCAAAATGCATATTTTCGGCGGTATTTAACTGTAACACTTTAATTTGAACACCCGGTATAGTTAATATTTCCAACCAGAAGCAAGATACTTCTAATCTTTTCTACCTATATAAAATATAAAACATCAAAAACACTTGACATACAGTGTTGTCAGCTCTAAAATAGGTAGGCAATTTATCTCACGATCATAATAATGTTGATATGAACCAAACTATAATAATTACCGAATTGCTATAATGATTAAAACAGAATACGAATGTAAACGATCATAGCAAGTTTCATAGCAAGATTAAACAGAATCGACCCAATTGTCAAAATAAATATTCAAACACAAATTATAAAATAATTCAGACTTTTTTGGAAATTATAAAATTATAAAAAGCTATTTCCCAAAGTCCGAGCAAAGCTCCAAGTCTCTGAATATGAGTTTTCAAAATCAGATGGCTACATATTAAATTATTGATTTATTTTATAAGGTGTGGATAAAGTTTTATTTGGTATTTGGTAAAAAACTATTATAATTCAAAAGTTAATTAAAACAAATAAACAAGCGAAGTCGAACTCAATTGGAAGGCAATTAGCCTGATCAAATGATAGTTTGATCTATCTATTAGTCTAATCAAATGGTGTTCAAAAGTGCCTGTTTCGTAACATGAAAGCGGTAGAAACTTTCTCAACGGAATTATATGTTTTTTAAGGTGCTGAACACGAATCTGAAGTGTGAAGATGCTATGTAAAAAATACCTGATAGCAAGGTCCATTTTATTTGACTCTCCTTCGTTTGGCTGGGACTGTGGAAGGTCCGAGCGTAGGGTTTTCAATGGACGATGACGGTCCAAGCTCAGGCTCTTCAGAACTCGGAGTAGCAGGCTGGAATGGCGGTTCTTCAACTGAAAGCAATGTCATTGAGTTTGTGTGTTGTAAAATAACGTATAATTTACCTTCTGAAGTCTCACCTGCCTCTGACAGTGGTGCAGCAAACGGAGGGTCGTCTTTTTGCTCATCGAGGTCGGTTCTTTCGTCCATGTTGATGCAGGAATCGGCACAGTTAATGCAGACTTGGGTGCAGAATACAGCTGTGCGCCTGCATCCACAACGCCCACCACAGTCAGTGCGGCATTTGCATGATATTTGCTGCATTAGTTTGTCAGAAGCCAGGGGTTTCAGAGTGGTAATTGGGGTCAGACCATTTTTGGTTGTCTTCTAACCCCACAGCTTCGGATCCAAACTGTTGCCGAGCCACTGCTGCACTTGTAAATATACACGCAAGCTATGCAGCAGGTGGGAGGAATAGATGCAATGTTGCTGGAAAACTTGAATGCAGATGTCACGTACTGCTTGTATCGCAGAGCATTCAAGGAAGTTGTTAGATGGTTAGCCCCTTACAGGGCCACCAAAAATGTTTCTCCAGCAGCAGCAATTGCCATTGGCTAGGCTAACGGATCCAAGAATTTCTCTTCAAGGTCTGGATATTTAGAGAGAGTCTTCAAAAATTTTGTCTTGCCTTGGTTATATAAAGATGACGTCGAGTCGCATCCACTCATCGCATGCAGAAACATCATGTGCTTGGCAAGATTTTGTTTCACTGTGCAGACTGTGGTTGGTACAGCAACTGAGGCGCTTTCCCTTTCCCTGGATTCAGCAGATAGACGTTTGGAGAAGTGTTGAGACCCATCATTATCACCATCAGATCTACATCTTCCCCCACAATCGCAACAGTTTGATGAGTTGGGACCAAGGATTCGGCCGTCCGAACAAACAGTGAATCCGCATCCTCGTTTGCTTGTCTGCAGGCAATTCCAGGTTCTTCACACTTTGCCATTAGCATGGTGATTAAGCGACTTTTGTTTTCGGCATTATACAGAAACTTTTCTTGAGACAGCGTCAGTATCATTTTGTGACTAAATTGTATTTCCACTGAGTGTTTCTTGATTGATCTCCTCAACCGTTCCATGGATTTTGTGAGTTTATTGCAGTTTACACAAAAAATTGCGAAACCTCTTCATATTGGCCAAATAAGCGCTTAAAGAAAAAATTAAGAAATTATCGGTATATGCGTATATACTTATCCAAATTTAAAATTTCGATGCTCACTGAACGCAAAATTTGATGCTTTACAACTTTTGTTCTACGTATTTTTCACGTAGAGTGGCTGCTTTCACATCACAGACGTCTAAAGGTGAGTTTTTTGCAGTTTTCACAAAAGTTGCTAAAAATTGCTTTTTTTGACTGACGATGGCGACCTTATAAATCGATCTAATTTGAAAGTTAGGGAGTTTTTTCGACGCAGAATTTTATGCTCTTCAACTTTGAATGGAGTGACATTTTCCGGACGATGCATTGTTTCCATTATATGAGCGGAAAACAAGAAAAACTCCAAAAATTTCGAGGATTTTTGCGTTTTTCGACCTGAAGCGGAACATATAATTCCATTGAGAAACCTTCTACCGCACTCATGTTACGAAACAGGCACTTTTGAACACAAGACTAAATAACGTAAATAAAATATAGGGTGGTATCGTCACCTAATCTCAATTCCTTTAGTACAGACGGGGTTGGTTGTATTGCCGCGTTACAACACAAAACAACTACTTCCATTGCTATATGCTCAACTGGACATTTAATGACTCTGTTGGTACAACAAATCCTTTGATTTGGACCTTAAAGGGTTAATAACCCGTTTAGCCCTAATTTTCTTCATATTTCTTCATATTAGATTAGAAATTCTACTCGAGCTGACTGCTGCTGCCTGAAGAGCCCAATTAGTGCGAAACCTTTCGTGGAATTTTACCTTTTCAAATTCCAAATCAAATGGTTTGTTTTACCGACAGAGTTTTTCGCGAACCCGTATAATATTATAACATATGTCATTCAATGTCCAGTTGAACATCATCCTGTATATCATAAAAATCGGGTAATAATGAATTCATTATTTAAGAGTTTGAATGTTTTTTATTTAGGATTTTTAAAATGAAGTTTAATTTGCCTCCTAACACATATAGTATTGTTGAGTTTTCCAGTTTCCCTCGTTCATGCTCCGTCAATGATAGATAGCAAGTCGGCATTTCTCAAAGCCGACGTACAATCATTAGGAACAGGACTGGTAGACGATGATAATGTTCTTAGTTTTTGTTGTGGGGTAAAATAAGAAGAAATGTGTTTTGGATTACGGATAATCACGTCTAGTTTTCTTTCGCTTGAATTGGTTGGTTCGTTTGGACGGTGTGTTATTTCAGTTGTTTCTAAGAATAATTTGAAACGTTTGTATTATTATACTTCTAGCCTCGAACACTGGACCGTTGGGAATAAGTAGATATTTACTTGGAAATTGGAGCCAGATGCATAGTTTTTTTTTGATAAATTATATTGGAATCGAAATATTCTGATCATTACAAATGGATCTTTACGAAGGATCCCTACTAAAGAAAACCAAAGTTTTCTTTTCTCAGGATGTTGCGGAAACCTAAATAGAATATTAAAAAATATGTATAGGTGCCTAGTAGGTTAACCATTTTTAAGCGATTCTACATTACATTAAATAATAATTAAAAAACAAAAAAATGCTTAAAATGTGAAATTTTAAATATTATTTGAAACATAATACAAGAATTATTTAATTACAATATGGGTTACAATTTTTTATCAAACATGATTAAGTACAACCAGCAAACAAGACTAATGAAGAACAAATTATGGTTGTACACATTCTACATATAATAAAGCTAATAACAAAAACAAAATTCAAAAACAAAAACAGTCACAATAGTTGCTCAAAATGTAGTCCATTCTATTGGATACAGAGTGAAATTCTCCTAGACATTTGGGATGTAGTTTTATCAACCATTTCTGGTGTAATTTTTTCAAATGCATCTACTATTCGTTGACGAAGTTCTTGTAGATTATTTGGCATATTTTTGTCGTAGATTTGGTTCCTTACGAAGCCCCATACAAAATAATCCATGGAGTTACGACACGGAGATCGAGGAGGCCATCTTATTGGTCCATTGGTACCAATCCAATTACCTCTAAAATATTGATCGAGATACTCTGCAACCCTCCTAGCATTGTGTGCACCACAACCGTCTTGCATAAAGTATTGAAGATTTTGTCTTGTTTGTAAGGGCATCTCATCGAGTACTTCCTCCAATAAATGTAGGTATCGGAACTGATTTAAATTACCATCCAAAAAAATCGGCCCAATAATCTGATTATTGATTAGTCCACACCACACATTTTGGGTAAAACGGAACTGTGGTCTAACTTCTCTGATTAAATAGGGATTAAAAGTAGGATACAAATGCTTATTCCTGGGATTAAATATTCCACTATTATTAAAGGAGCATTCATCCGTCCATAATATCTTTTTGTTGAAAGAATGGTCATTGCGCAGTTTTCTACTATACCAACGACAAAACATCAGTCTTCTATCAGAGTCTCCAGCGTGTAATTTCTGAAATTGATACCCGTGATATTTATGTTTCTTTAAAATTCTTTTAACCGTGGAGGTTCCTAGTACACATTCTTTAGCTATTCGCCTAGTAGAATTTTCAGGGTTAATATGTATTTGGGCAAGAACATTAATTTCATTATCAGTATGTCGAACCTGATATCTAGTTCTCCTTTTTTTCACACTGCTATGCTCTGCCATATTTTTTGAAATATAAGAAAACATCCTCTTAGATGGCTGTTGTCTATCAGGATATAAATCTAAATAAGTCTGAGCTGACCGGGTTTCATTCCTATAGCATCTTATGTACACATCATACATATCTTTCGTCTCTTCTTCGCTAAAAAAGTACTGTAATATTAGATGTTACAGATTATAACAGAAATATTGATGACAAGTTACAACTGACATGCATGGCAAACATGATTTTGTTAAGATCTTATGTATGCAAAAATGAAAACATTAAATATAGAAAAAATACGGCGAAAGATTTTACAGAAAATCAGGTGATAGGAATTTATAGATTGCTTGACCATTTTGTTCTTCATTTTATGTTTTTGTTATTAGCTTTATTATTTGTAGAATGTGTACAACCATAATTCGTTCTTCATTCGTCTTGTTTACTGGTTGTACTTAATCATGTTTGATAAAAAATTGTAACCCATTTTGTAATTAAATAATTCTTGTATTATGTTTCAAATAATATTTAAAATTTCACGTTTTAAGCATTTTTTGTTTTTTTAATTATTATTTAATTAGCTATCTTGTTTTAATCAAGTAAGAAACGGTATCATCAGAAGCTACATAGCTGATGATATTTTCATAGACGAAACGTAGTAAAATGGTAAAGTGTAATATATCGTTGTATTTAGCTATACAAAAGCTATAAAAAATTACAGTTAAAAATCCAGGTGCGTATTAAAAAAAAAGAGTTGAAGGTGGCCCTGCAAATACGAAACGTCGTAATACAAATTTTGACATGGCAGATTATAGGGAACTTGATTTATAACAAAAACTTCGTATAATTTTTTTTTTTTATGTTTTATAATAACAACGCACGACTTAAATAATGAAAATGAGGTTTTTCGGATTTTATCGAATATCTCCGGAACCAGTCAGAAAATCTGGAACTTCTATGGACCATTGTATTATCCGTCAAAATACGAAACTTTTTCCCCATTTAACCGACAATGTATATCCTACGGTTTACGAGATCTCTGTATACGCAAATTAAATCCGGTCCACCCTGTATATCGTTCCTAGTGCCGATAAAGCACTTTCTAGAGATGATGATGTTCTATACTTTTTAGAAGATATTATCAAATATTATGAGACTTTTCAAATTTCAGCAATTAAGAAATCTTTTCGAATTTGGTCATACATACCTAATTTGTATTTTATATAGATAAAATTAAATAATTTATCAATTAAAACATGCAAGACTTATTTAGAAATAAATACAACAGTATGTTCTGTGCTTTATTTAGCTGTAAACAAGTTTATTTTTATTATTTTAAAAAAATTATGTATAATTCCCATAAGAAGCAATGTATTTTGAACAACGTATGCAGCCAGCGCCCGTGCGGTTAATTATAGAAGCTCAATTAGCATGCGTTTTTTGCTTAGATTAAAGAGACCGAAGATGTAACATTGCACACTGCGCATGTTATCTATTTTAACCCAAAGTAACCCACCAATTGAAAATCATTGTTTGCACGACGCCACCCGAATTGCTCCGATTTTTCCATTCATCGATCACCTCCACCTGAGTTTAATCACCATTGACAGCTGTTTTTTGATTTATTTGTTGGTATTTTAGCAATTTAAAGTGCTCTAGTTAATCAATTTCAAGTTCAAAATGCCACGATGTTTCTTGAAAAAATGTATGTACTTATAATACAAGTACTAATGTTATGAATATATTCGTTTTCAGCGGTAAATATTTATTAACGTTTTGACATAAAGCGCCATGATTCTCTGGGCTAAATACTTCAGATCCGCATTAAGGGGTTTCAATAAATATTAAGCATCCGAAATCAGATTTCATATTACTTACATAAATTTACAAAGAGATAAAATTTTGAACATTTAATTTAAATAAAAAGTAAATAGGCATTGTTGCTAACGAAATTTTGTATTTAAAAAGTAGTTTTATAAGAATGTTTTCAAATAGTTATTTTTGTATCTAGTGCGCGAAATGCTACTTTGGTGATCGAGAACTGATTTTTTTTAACGAGGCGCAGCCGAGTTAAAAAAATAGTCGAGATCACCAAAGTATTTCGCGCATGAGATGCAGACAAAATTTTTTCTACAAACGTCAAAAATATTATTCTAAAATAAGTAACATGCTTAGCTTAATATGAAAAATAGTATTGAACTGGCTTAAACTGTTTTTATAAATCAAGTAATTACTGTAACTATGGAAATAAAATGGCATTTGTTGACAA